AACTTAAACTTTTTGGTGATAAATGATAACACTTCTATGAAAATAAAATTAAACCAGACATATGATATAGTGTAAATACTTTGAATAGTCAAGTCCATGTTACTTTTACAACAAGGAAATGTTCTTGTAGATGTAACGCAATGTCTTTTTTAGAACAAAGTCTTCGACGATCCGCCATGGAAGATTTGACAAATCAGTGAAGCGTAAATGGTCGATTATTACTGAAGTTTTTGAAACAAAGTTGAAAGGACAAGGTACTATTGGGGTCAGATTAACCATATACAGAATTGTATTTGAAAATTTCTCAAATTTTCAGAATGAAGTCTTTAATCTATGATAAATAATAAAGCATTTGAGTTTAGTTTAAAACATTTGCAGCTCATTGCATTGGTAATAAGACCCACCAAATGGCAGTGCATTCAGTAAAAATACCAATTTACCGATAATTGTGACAATTTGACACACAGATGCTAAGAAATAATAAAGAGCACAAGCCTCGCCCAAAAAGATATCTACACAGGATGTATATTTTTTTTTCATCTACTTGTTGACAAACAAATGTTCTGGGTGACGCTTGTGCTCTATACTAATTTAGATGAAATTTTCCCGAAATTAGACTATTTTTATTAGAATTGGGTGATTTTTTTCCACCATTGGTTGTTTAAGTGTCGCTCTTTATCAACCCACTAGTGGCGATTACAGCTGTCAAAGCACCCGCATGTCTAGCACTGTGCGATCTGACGCATAGTACAGATTGGGCCAAGATGTCATTTTACAATATGTCTACTATATCCATTTCATGACATTATTACAAACGTAACAGGTTAGGCATGTTCCTAGAATTGACGATTACTATTGATATAAGATAATACTTTAGAATCATGTGATTGATATTGCATGCAAATTGACTATTTTTTTCTTCAGAGTTATGGGACTTTCACTGTCCGATTTTAAAAGTCAATTTTGCAGATGTGCCACACTAATTTGAGCATGCTCGGATCAGTTTGATTGTTAGGATAGGTGAAAGAAAGCTCCTTTTCAATTTTGAAAAGAACATCCTTTTTTGTTATTTCAAAGTTATATGACTCAAACAGTCAGTTTATGATTGGCGAGTGTAAGCGCCTTTTCGATTTTGAAAAATTTCGGAATAAAATATGTGGTTTACCTCAGCAAATCACGGCGTTTGCCATTGCTTTCTCTGGAGAGTATCCAGTTTGTATCTGTAACTCCTGCTATCCCTAAGTAGAGTTTATTGAAACTTTCTCAGAGTCGTCATCATGTAATGGAGTTGCCCACCTTCTGTTTTTTATCCTAATTATTTAAGGATGTCCCTCAGAAGATCATTAGCCTTGCAAGGGGAAGGGGTATATCTTTATGAACTTTGGTCGCATTACTTCTAGCTGTGCTTGTATTTTTTCTTTTTTATGTATATAATGTGCCTGATAGGTAATGTGCCTGATTATATATTAAGTTACATCTGTAAATTTACAAGGAGGGTCGGTTTAGAAGTGAACTTTACGACAAAAGAGATGATTGCCATTGACTCATTGTGAACTTTACATTCCTGTGTAGCAACATTCATGATGCGCATGTATCTGGAGTATATGTTTGCCAGTTGATATAAATTCCCAGGGCTTTCTTTTCCTATCTTGCTTATCTTGATACAAAATGCAAATGATAATGAATTGGTTATAAATGTCCAGTGGCAAATATCAAATGCACATTAGAACGAGCACATGAATACGAACCTTGCTTCGTACAAGACAGATATTACTTTGACGAATTTTTAATACGCTAATTCAAAAGGTAACAATCACCCTACACGGACACATTATTCCGATTGTAGCCGTCCATTCGTAGTCTTTGCACCTAATGACGCTTGCTTAGAAGAAGCAAATAAATACTTATTTTAAATTTTTTGTGTGCTCACACACACGAGGCGAGCCTGCTAACGCGAGTCGCCGAGGCGGTTACTTCCTTGAAAGAGAGTTGCTGTTAATAAGAAAGCTATTAAACCAAGCGTTTTAAATGGAAAAGTTGTAATCCATTCTTTTACAGACGTCAGAATATATTTGTTGAACGTTATGGAATATCTGTGTTATTAATGACCACGGATATGTCCCATTTGTCATAACCACACCCCAGTCCTCTTTTCCTCGATTGTGACATCACCGAATGCTACTAATTACAGAATGTGTACTAGACATGGGTTAAATGACGAATGTCACTTGTTTAGCTTGATTTGCTTACCGTTCAAGAGCATCTGAGCTTACCCTCGGTTTTGGTGGGTTCCGTGTTGCTCATTTATAGCATTATGTGTATTGTTTTGTGGACTATTGTTTGTCCCTTTTTTGTCATTTTTCTATTTTGTAATTGTGTTGTTTGTTTATAATCGAGTAATGGTCTTGTATTGCTCCCTTGGTACTTTCATTCTATTTTTTCAATATTTTTGTATTTGATTTAGGATTGACATTTAAGCTCATTTATAATTTGACAATCTCTGGATTTTTAGTTTGTCGTTAACAATTTTGAGGGACCTAATTCAACTAAAGTTCTTGCATAACTTAGTACGAGTTAATCGGTTGAAGAATTGTTTTTGTCAGATTGTGGTACACACCAATCTCATTATTAGTACTACATGTTGCCTTATAACATTAACATTACTGCACCAGATGCGCATTTTGACGTTTAATGTCACTTCTTATTTGAAATTCCAAAACCTAATACAGGTGCCGAAAAGCTGATAAAACCAAAATCAAACAATATCCGTATTTTCATGCCAGTATCGATGTACTCAAAGTATAGTCAAGTCCTGAAAAGAATCAGAGCTTTGCCAGTATGTGTGGATGGTTTCTCCATAAATAAATTTACGGTAAGGGTTCACTTGTAATGTATAATGTTTCCAAATTTTCTTGTCAACAAATTGTTGTGTTTTATTTTGCCGAGTGTCATTCAAAGTGCCTCGGGGTTTATCTCATACCTTGTTTATCATGATCAGAATCACCCTTTTTTATAGCAGTACCTGTATTTCTCGTAAGACGATTTTCAATAAATTGTGGTAAGTCATTTTTATCAGTATCAGTATTATCATTATTCTTGTGTCTTTTTTTTAAAGTATATTCTGTATTTTCTTTGCTTTAAAATTACAATAAAAAAAAAAATTGCGAAAAAAGCTTGGGAAGACGAGTGTTTGCGTTGAAATTATGTTTCTATCAAATATTATTCAACTACAAAACGGACCTTTCTCAAAATGTCCAACTGAGAGCATCAAAAGAAGGGCGAAAGATACCAGAGGGACAGTCAAACTCATAGATTGAAAATAAACTGTTAACGCCATGGCTAAAAAATAAAAAGACAAACAGACAAATAATAGTACACAAGACACAACATAGAAAACTAAAGACTAAGCAACACGAACCCCACCAAAAACTGGGGGTGATCTCAAGTGCTCCGGAAGGGTAAGCAGATCCTGCTCCACATGTGGCACCCGTCGTGTTGCTCATGTTATTACAAATCCGGTAAATAGTCTAATTCGGTAGGTCATATTCTTGGTGAAAAAGGAAGTGGATTGAAATTACGACATAAGGAACATATCCGATATCATCTGTGAAACGGTTATTCCATAACGGTCAACCAACTCGTGATGGCGTCCGTAAAATTTACAAAGGGACGATTTCAACTTCACCATTTGGAACTCTTGGTTTAATAGCTTCTTTTTGAGCAGCAACCCTCTATCAAGGAAATCATGATAGGAAATACAAGCCCGGGAATATCGTATCAATTGGGAGATATATACTCCGTATGCAGGCGCTGCTGGAATGTTGCTACATAGAAATGGAAAGTTCACAATTGGGAAGCTGAAATCATCTCTTTTGTCGTAAAATTTTGTTTTCAACCGACCCTCATTGTCAATTTCTAGATGTATGTCAAGATATGAGGCAGACTTAACTGTATCTTTTGTATCCTTATCTCTAGTTCGATGGGATAGATGCGTTCAACATAGTCACCAAATTTTGAATTATTTAGTGAGAGAACATCATCTATATAGCGTAAAGTAAAGTTAAAGGATATTGCTAACTTCTTATCTTTCTTCATAAGAAATTCCTGTATGAAGTCAGCCTCATTATAATAAAAAAACAAGTCGGCAAGAAGAGGGGCACAATTGGTTCCCATTGGAATGCCGATAGTCTGTTGAAAAACACGTCCTCCAAACGTAACAAATATGTTGTCAATCAAGAAATCAAGCATCTTGGTAATGTCAGTTTCAGAGAATTTTTTGTTTGAATCAGAGTGATTCTTTACAAAGTAGGATGTATCCCTCCCCAAGACAAGATACATGATCTACGTTCGCCATTCTTTTTTATGAAACAAAGCAATACCAACTCTTTCAATTTGTCTTTAAGTTTGGAATGGTGTAAAGTGTAGAAAAGTCAAATGTTTTAATACTATTGCAAGATGAGAGAGTCTTAGATTGTATGTACTCAAAATGAGCCTACTGACCAATACAAACAGAAGTGGTACTCGTCGATACAAAATTCTCCAAACTGTATAAACTATAGACTGTTCAAGAATACACTAGACTTTGAGAGTTATCTAAACATTCTAGATGACAAAAATATTTTTATTTTATGTAAATTTAGGACAGGTAACCATATAGGCAACCGTTTCTTATACATGTGTACTTCATTTTACGCTATCGTACTGTATCTGTTTACCCTCAACTATTGTATTTGTATTTATATTGTACTTTCTCTGTAAACTTGTATTTATTTTTTAGAGAATAAAGTATCTATCTATCTATCTATCTGTCTATTTATCTATATATCTATCATTAGTGCATATTGTTAGCATTCCAACAGGGGTTTTAATAGTAAAATGCAACATTTTATAAGTAGTTAAAATAATATTCTTCAACAGTTTTTTTTTATCTCATTTTTAACAGTTCCTTTTTTTTTCTTTTCATTTTTGAAATTTCCCATCTTTTATTGACTTGTATAATAAACGCTTCTATAAATTTATTTATTGAAATATGGGATGCATAGGACAATGTAGGAGACTATCAACTTTATCATCAACTCATGATGTCAGCAACTTCTTCATCTTCAGGTTCTTCCTCTAATTCACATAATTGAGAGTCTTTATTTGTGTTCAATTGCCTTCTTTCACGAATATCCGCAAATTGAAGAGGGTCTGGTAAACGTTCAGGCAGCTCATATTCCTGTTTACGACCGGCGAAAAATGAGGGTTCATTCACTTGCATCGATACTGATAGTAGAATATCTGGATTAAATATAGCTTTTCTCTCTTTTTGTTCAGCGACAGGTTCCGGCTCTGGTTTCCTTGTAGGCGTCGGCGTACTGCGCTTCCTTCGATTTTCCTGACGCTTTAAAACTTCTTCTTGAACTTTTTCAGAAAATCCCACTGCACGATGTAATTGACCAGACACTATCTTTGCATTTAAATCTCTGATATTTACAAAAAACATTGACGAAGTTCGACTCAAACTAGTTTTGTTGTTATTGCTGCTGTTTTTGTTTTCATTTTCATCATCATTTTCTTTTGTTTGTATTTCCTTTTTCGACTGTTGATAGTCTTTTGTCACGATTCTTTTTTTCAAAAGTCTTGGCTTGGCAATTTCTCCTTTCGCAATTTTATCTTGAATATCACTTTCACTTAAATCTGGTAAATATCTTTTTAATACGGCTGCAGTGGTCATGTTCTCGTGCGATATCCGTAATGTTGGAAAGCACTGATCACACTTGTATAATCCCATTTGTCTCGATTGATCTTGTTTACATTGACTACACACTTGAGGTCCTATGATTTCACAAATTTCTCTTCCCACGGGGAGAGATGCCAAATAGTTAATAGGATAAACTGAATCTGCATCGTCGTCGATGTCATTCATACGAGAATTGGCCCGAGACGGAAGTGGTTCACTTCGGATGCTCTTTGGTGTCATTGCATCTCTTCGCACATCATGGATATATCGACTAGCACTGGTGTGCGGACGACTTGGGGCGTATTCCTCAAACTTATGAGTTTTATTTTGTGCAAGTTCAACAGCTTCCCTTCTTGTTTTAGCAGAGTAACTTAATCTTTCTCGTTCGGCAAGATGGCATATATCATCTAAGCTTAAGCTTACTGGTTCTCGTCTCGTGATTGTTCTCACAGGATTCTGCTGTTTCTGTACAAAATCAAATGTCTTCGCTCTTGTAAGCTGAAAATAGAAAAAAAATACCATTAGCACATTTTTATACACAGCTACACTGCAAAATGAATTTTCCTTCCATTTCTTTGTCAGTTTTTCCATTGTCACTTTTATTATAAAATATATTTGCTAATACCGAAAGAGAAGTTTATTTCATATCATTAAAACTGGAGGTAAAACAAATATACCAATACTACTTCTAATACTAGTTAGCGGACATAAATATATTGGCATAAAATGTAATAAAATGAAAACCGGAAATAAAAAAGGGAGTACGGCCCGGTAAACAGGTACCTACACTCTTAAAACTGTAGTAATGAAAAATATTTCAGACAGGGACATATTTATATACTTAAAATTGTTTAATTATAATTCTAGTTTACAAAATAACTGGTACTTCTAACATTTCTCTGTATTGAGACTATATGATAAACCTAATGTTACGGATGTTATAGGCATATTATCGACAGTAAGTTGCCATGTATAGCACAGTTCAAAGCCAGAAAATCATTGATTCTTATCTATGTGCTCAATATTTCTACAAACACAATGCCCTGATAAACATTTCAATTCAATACTTTTTATAGCATGTTTGATAATCTTTATATTTTAATATAACATCACATTTTAATCATATTAATCTAAAAATTGCTGTGTAATAAGTGGTGTGTTGGGTTTTAATTCTGTAATTATGAATAAATGGAGATATTTAATGTGTATAAATTGTGCATATTTTGTAACGCATCATCTGATATAGAAAAGAATACATGTAATTCCAATTAAAGTTACGCACATAAAACACACTGATCATGTCTGTAATTTCAAATTCATAAACTTTCACAAAAAGACAATAAAATGCTTTGCTGAGCGCAACCTGATACGATCGCAGAGGTCGAACCCTGAACAGTTGGGGCAAATTTGGACACAATATTCAAGCTTGATACTGTCTGAATTTGGATTGTGATCAAATTTTTGACATAATATAGGATTCTGACACAAAATAAATGTGGTCAAAGATCTTATAAATCCATTGCGCAATACTGTGCAATTCAAGATTTCTTCTTGAAACTTAAAAAAAATATGAATCCCTTAAAAAATTGGGAAAAAAATCCCCCCCCCCCAACTTTTTGAAACCCCCCTTGGAGCAATAACCCCAAAACTCAATCCCAGCCTTTCCTTTGTAGTATGGAACCTTGTAGTACAATTTCAGAGAGATCCATACACTTACACACAAGTTATTGTCTGGAAACTAGAATAATGCTTGTTTTTGGCCCTTTTTTGGCCCCTAATTCCTACATGTTTTGGGCAATAAACCCCAAACTCAATCCCAGCCTTCCCTTTGTTATATGGAACCTTGTGGTACAATGTCAGAGAGATCCACACACTTACACACAAGTTATTGTCTGGAAACTAGAACAATGCTTGTTTTTGGCCCCTTTTTGGTCCTTAATTCCTATACTGTTGGCCCCATAACCCCTAAAATGAATCCCAACCTTCTACTTATGGTATTAAACATTGTGGTACAATTTCAGAGCAATCGAAATACTTATACACAAGTTATTATCCTGAAACTAGAAAAATGCTTGTTTTGGGCCCCTAATTCCTAAACGGTTGGGACCATCATCCCCAAAATCAATCCCAACCTTCATTTTGTGGTATTGAACCTTCTTACAAAAATTTCATAGAGATCCATTCATTTAAACTAAAGTTATTGTCCGGAAACCAATGTGTCTTCGGACGACGACGCAGACGACGACGACATCATAGTATTACCATTATACGATCCCCAAAATTTTTTTGCGGTCATATAAAAATAAAATAAGTATAGCTGGGAAATTCCCATCTAGAACACCTGAGATTTTAAATATTTGTCCTTTGGAATCTTCTGTCTCCTAATATAACAGATCAAAGACACCTCATACAGAGGACCAGATAAGAAAGACTGGTGTGAGACAATCATAAAGGTGTATACTAACAACAAATGTGAAGCAAAACCTTTGGTCAATGGAGGCGCCCATTGTGGAGTGATATCATCTTGTCAGGCTTACCTTTAAAGTTTTAGGTTTGTTTGAAACAAGAACAGTCTCGTACTGTCGAACAATCGGCGGCAAAGCGAATCTCACTTTAGACTGTAACTCCGCCATTTTAATAGAAATTCAATGTCACAATTCTCTTGACAACTGATGCCAAAAATGAATGGAATCCATCAAGAAATTGTCTAAGGTTGGTGAAAATATATTGTCTTAAATTGACAAACCTAATCCCGAAGACAATGAAAATGATTCAAGTGTTTGTTTTAAAGGTAAAATCACATATTTTAGCATCACAATGTAACGAAATGCACAAATTTGCAATTATATATATGTCAAAATTAACACTTCCATTTATGTTGGTTCCATCATGAATTAACAGTTCATTTTGTGTGTGCAGTAATATATTCATTGTCAACGACGAAATTACCTGGTTTTAAATTTCTATAAAGTCTAATAAATTATTAACTGTCTTGTTTTCATTATAACTTTCTATGGTTAGATGGTTAAATTGTTTAAAATTGTGTCAATATTATTTCCGTTAGTGATAAAATCAATATGTCTAAATTCTCATATCCAAGACCAAATATTAATTTACGAAATCTGCCAGACAAATATTTATTTTTTTCAGTTTTTTTTCTGATTAGTGTTTTCTCCCGATAAAGTAGTTCCTGAAGTGTAGTGAGGAAGTGCTTTAAATTGTAACATAATTGGAATGTTAAATTGATCAATTTCAATGTCAATATTTCTTTCATTTTAAAGATTGTTCAAATGATTTGATTTAATGCAAGTATAATTGTCTTAACAGTGTAGAGTAGTTTTCTACTGCTACTCAGTACAGCAAACTAGTGACTTTAATAACTATTTGTACGAAAAATTAGTCACGGTTTTGGAACATGATTTTAATTTTAAATAATGTTTGCGGAACGGTAAAATTGTATAGGCATATTTTTTTTTTATTATATTGTTATGATTAATGAAAGAATTCCTCTTTAATAACAAAGTAGGTTGGTATTTATCTTAATATTGAAAACAAAAATCAAATTGTTTGACCTTTCAAACTTTGGTCGAACTTTGGTACTGTACAGAATCAAAGAGAAATAGCACTTCTCGTCAATACATGTAATAACTTAAAAAGACAAAAATGTATCCAGTAAAGAGAATAAAATGTACACATATATCACTGCAAGTCGATAAAGTTAAACTGTTTGAATTTTTAAATAAATTGCGGATCATAATTATTAGGTTTACTTATTGAAGAAATATAATCAAAGTTGTCTGTAATTTGGAAAAGGATTAACCAAACTCTAGATAAAAGAATATACAGATTCCTTTGATTATAGTACACATCAAAGTGAATATGAAGAATAAATCACGCCAATTATTGTTTCAACAATGAAAAAAGCTTTTTCTCGGTTATCTGTTTTATTGTGTAATATTGGCAACCAAACACTAAGCAATGTAAATCAGTGTCCGTATGAATGTGTACAAGCTTGGTTCTGAAACCAAACATTAATGTTACAAGACAATTTTAAATTTACTAGAAGTATGCGTTCCTTACACTATCCAGTCAATATCGTATCAAAATAAAACTTCCATCCACACTTTGATGCGTCACGAAGAGTTTTCCTTATCAACCTTTCTCGGGGGACCTTAGTGTCATATAAAGAAAAGAAGGGAATAAATGACACAAAATCCCTTTAAGCACTTAATTAAACCCAAAGAAGAGGAACACCATTAATTGTTGTATTTCGTTTAAGAGTCATAATGAGGTCTTCCACTAGGAGCTGTATAACTGAGGTATTCAACAGGAAAAAAACTCAAAATTTACTGCTAGTTCAATAGGCTTCTAAAGTGCTGATTAAAATACAATTCTAGATGTCAATGATACTAAATCAAATGAGCAGGGTAATAACAGTAAACTACAAACTGTAACGGGCAACATATCTTTATAAAAAGTACTGCCAAAACCTGCTCGATAATCGAAAAATATAGAAACAACGAAAACATTTAGACGATTTGTTAGTAGAGAAATTGATAGGAAACTATTAATAAAATGTACAAGTATATATATCATATATATACAAGTCTAAATTGAAAACAACGTTCAAACCTATGATTGCGTTGGATAAAAAACCGCAATTTTTATACGTGTGCATGCAAAACAAATTTCTTGGTGGAGGGGTCTAAATACAGCACAAACAACATTTTCCAAAAGACCAAAAAAAGTGAAACAGTATATTTTTACAAAACGCATTTGACTAGCAGGTCGAACAACGAATGCTCTTAATCCCTGCTGACTGCCATGGCGATTGCCAAATAAACGGATCACCAGATGTAACGAAATGGATCTTAATTATTAATTTAATACCAAACAGAAAACAATAAACTTGCGGAAAAGATGGTATACCGCAAAATGAGGGGCACAAATTTGTACACCATATCCGGATTTCGACAATAAATGTCTCTTCAGTGATGTTAGGAATCGAAACGGTATTTGGAAGGCCATATAGTTTACCTCAATTTAGGATTGACTCTCGAAGAGTCGAAAAAGGATGAACGAATTATATAAACCCGAAGGCAAATATAATACAAGCCCAAACGAAAAAATATAAACAAGTCTAAATTGAAAACAACGTTCAAACCTATGATTGCGTTGGATAAAAACCGCAATTTTTATACGTGTGCATGCAAAACAAATTTCTTGGTATATATATATACTATATAGTTTGGGCAGACTGTATAAAAAATCGATTTGGTTCCATGGGTTCAATACACAAGAGATAATGACACAGATGTTGACACAGAGATGATGACACAGAATTGTTGACACAAAGATGATGAAACATAATTGTTGTCACAGAGATAATGAAACAGAAATGTTGACACAGAGATGACACAAAAAGGTTGACACAGAGATGATGACACAAAAAACAGTTAATATAGAGATGATGACACAGAATTGTTGACATAGAGATGATGTCACAGAGATGTTGACACAAATGTTGAAACAGAGATGACATAAATATGTTGACACAGGGATGCTAACACTGAGATGATGACACAAACATTTTGAAACAGAGATATGAACCAATAGATGATAACACATAGATGTTAAAATAAATTGAAAGCAATATCATTAAAGGGTTTATAAAGAATAACAAATGTAAAAATAAGGAGATGTTGTATGATTGCCTATGAGCCAACTATCCACCCTAGATCATATGAAGTGGATGTAGGCAATTATAGGCAACAGTACGGCCTTCAACAATGAGAAAAACCCATACCGCATAGTCGGCTACAAAAGGCTCCGACATGAAAAACATGAAACAATTCAATTGAGAAAACTAACGGCCTAATTTATAACAAAACAAACATGACAGACACGACCCAACGACAACCACTGAACCACAGGCTCCCGGCTTGGGACAAGCACACAAAGAATGCGTTTATCTAAGGTGACCGTTGCACACAAAGATAAGTTTATCTAAGGTCACCGTTGGTCAAGGGAGTTGAAATTCAGATTTCTTAGAACTACAATATCTTATTCCCTGAAATTTATACAATAATAGTATAATCAATTGTGGTCAATTATGATCCAGTGTTGAAACATTAACTACTTGGAAGAACAGTACAGCTCTTGCAACAAAACATCTAGGTATATGAACTACAAGTGTGTTAGGTTCATAATACTTATCTCTGTTTTAATGGTATTGACAGAAGTATAATTTATTTCATTTAACAATATACCACATACTTAAATTTACTTCAAACTGCACTTCAAATTTGTAATCTTAATTTACAATCAGTGTCCAATAAATCAATCCTATACATGTACTCGTAAGATAACCTCAGTGTATGTTGTGGCGTTATCTTGACAACAGGTGCATGTCCTACGAATTCAGAGTTTATGAACTTGTATGTTATAAATATTTTACACTTGTATTATCTGATCCATCTGTATTTTATAAGATAGTGGTAAATCTATCTCTATACATGCATCTCGTACAACTGTCATTCATAAGTATAGCATAATCAGTGGGGGATACAGAATTTCAAAAAGGGGAACTAGCAATATTATGTAGTCTCTCTTGATCAAACAATATATTTCAAATGGGATTTCTACCTCTTATTGGTATCCCATCGGTTATTATATTGTCATGCTTGTTTATTTACTAGTAATTATTTGCAATTTATTTGTTTTAACTTTACTTTTCTTTGTAGGTCCTTTTGGTAATACAGCTACTCACGTATACAAGTACGTATACATCCTTGACATTCAATTTATTTGGGGTTTGGGCGTTCCTGGTGAAAGTCAATCTAGAAAAGCGCGTCAGACGCACCGAAGTTATAAATTTTATCTTTATTTAAGTTACCTCACTGTTGACGAATGACTTTTGATAATACCTCTATATAAACCGATTGAAAAAGGTTTTCTATGAAAACAATTTTATTTTTTGATTTCATGTATTTCGAATAACATTATTCCTACCAGATCGATATGTTGATTTATTTGATAATCAAAAGAAATGATGCGAGATGGATTTGCACTTAGGCGCTAGCTATGTAGAAGTAGCATAACAAAACACGCTTTATAAATATGTGGAGGGATAGATTTTCTATCATTTGATAAACTGTTCAGTACGTTGCGTTATGAAATCTTTCACGAAAAACAGCAACCGATATTTAGACGACATGATTTTTCGTCAGGGAATTATTCATTACGGTATTATTTGTCAATAAATTTTTTATTATCTATTCTACCGTTATTTCAGAGTTAAGTGTTTTTCCTGTTTATGTCAGGTCCTGTTATGTACCTCTTATCAGTCAACCTGCCGAGATTATAATGGAGAGGGTTGAGATCTAAAAAAAAAATGTAGCCCCGCCGCATATTGATTTGCCTGTCCCAAGTCAGGAACTTAGTCAATGGTTGTATTCATATTCAATGTTTTTATGTTTAAGAAATTTGATCGTTGTGTTTGATTTATTCACAGCTTTTATAGATTACGGTCAATTAAAATGTAGATATAGTGTATAGACACCTGCTTATTGTTAAAGTCTGTATGTTGCTCTTTATATATCTTTTTGATTATTTATGTCGTTATGTTGCTCATATGCCTTGCATCTCCTTATAAAGATATTTATATTTTACTTACTTTTCTTTATATTTTTCAGATGTTATTCCGACACCAAGTACAATAGTTGTCAGCTAACACGAACCGCACAGTTATAGAGATAGCGTTATAAACGGTCATAAAATAAAATAATTTATACGTTTAAATGATACTCTAGTGTTTTCTTAAAGGAAGATATAAATTGTTACTTGTTCATTGAATATACAATTGTGATACAATCGTATAATAATCTAAAAATGACGAATCATTTACACTTTTTAAAATGTTTCCAAAGAGTAACGGTCAAATCATATTAACTAGTATAGAACTTTCTGAAAGATATTCGATCTAAATAGAAAAAAAAGCTCTCAATTGTCTCAGTCCGATTGGTTGTGCGGGATATATAAATACGAAGCCACGACCGGTTGGAATGAGGACGAGGTGAATGTCGTGTTCCCTGCAGGTTAAATAATCATCGAAACAACTATATATGCGGGGTCGATGCAAAGCAAAGTGTCTGTCCCTTTCTAGCATTTTTACACTCCTTTTCCAGTATCAGTCAAAATTTCACACACTTTGTCACGGTAGAGTCTACCTATTGTGTTAAATCTTCATTTGTTTTCGCACTGAATATGCATGACATGATTGCAACTGGACATTGAGCTAGCAATAATCCATCGACATAAAGTGCACAGTCTAAAAACGTTGTGCATGTATTGAGCAAAAATTATCAAAGATCGGCAATCAACCCCACATTATACAGACTAACAACAATCATAAAAATATCACGTTAGATAACCTATGGGGAGGATAATGTTTTGGGACATACACACAAATAAGTGGCGGAATAAGATATAATTCTAAATTGAAAATATTTACTAATTTGTTCCTCCTTTATTAGCACAGTGTTTTCCTCCTTTATTAGTAATATTTTACAATGTTTTCCTCCTTTATTAGTACAATGCTTGGGAGAATGAAGGATAAAAGTATATGACGTAAACTTATGGAACCAACAAGCAATCGAAATGTTATACATGTACGCACTACCCACGTAAGTTACTGTTTTAGTATTTTATATTCATGCATGGTTGGTTATCTCAAAAATGTTTTAAATTATAGAAATGTTACGTTTTCGAACAATTGTATACAATTAGTTTTGACATAAGTCGTCTGTAGTCCTTTTGTCTAAGAATTCTATAAACAGAATTCCATTAATACAAAAAATGTATAATATGATCAAATGAGATATTACATTAATCTAGTCTTATTCAATAAAAAGCATGTATGTGTAATCTTATTGAAATAGGATTACTACACTGGAGTGACCTGCCGCACTTATTCTCGACTACGACACGGAGAGTCGAGGGTTGTGGTCAGGCAATAACCCGTATTGATCCAACATTAATCTATTAAGTTTCTTTTCCTTCATTTTACGTAGAGTTTATGGTATTTTAAGCTTTTAACAACTATAATTTGATGACAAACAAAAAATATTATATTCAAAATATGTCTTTATAATTAATCAAAAAAAATTAAGTCATAATCTAACAAGAAACCGTTGATGTACAGGAGTTGTAACAATTAAAATTCTTGAGTTATTTATTACCACTTCAAATGTTTCATTTTAACGAACGATAAAACAGTTTATTTCAAATTTGTATTATTTTAGTGGTTTTTTCTTTTGAACTGGAGTTTGAACAACACAGCATATTCACCCGAAGAAAAGTGATCACCGCGCTATCACGTGCATTTTCGTGTATAATTCGGATAAAATGTTTGATTTACAAAATTGACTGTCATTAAATACATTTGTTTTCTGTCGGATAAGGAATAAAACAAGTACTGTATTTTGTTCGGTAGATTTGTGGTTTAATGACTTTCGGAAAACTAAAATTCACTTCGGCCTTGGTGAATATCAGTTTTTATTTTTCAAAAGTCTACAAAACCACATATTCACCTCATAAATACAGTAATTGTATAATATTCTTTAATTGTGTATTAATTTTATAGGCTTTAATCGTTAAATTACAATTTGAAATCATTCTATTTGGTCAGCTGTCCAGTTCTTAACATTTATTTTCTTATAAAACTTCACACTATACCCATACGTTTATATCTTTCGTCAAACTATTCCTTCATTGATCGTGGAGATTTTAATGAATCAAAATAGTTTTAAAATGTTTAAAATGAATGTACATTATTTTTGTAATTTAATCAGCGATGTTTTAAAATCCTTATAGATTTAGTTTGTATTTAATCTATATTTTCTATTTTAAAGAAAATCTTCTAGATTTGGTCAGTTTTCTGGATAATTATATATTTAGAATATAATACTAAATACATGTAGAAAATGTCGCGCACATTTGTTTAGTATTTTGTTATTGTAGATTTGAGAAGTTTGTACTAAATTAAAAAAAAGAAATTATCTTTCAAATTTGGATGTTTTCGTTTGTATTAACCATCTACTTTGTACTATATTCATAAAAAAAGTTTCAATATTTTATATTTGGTGGGTGTCCTGTATTGTACATTTAGTTCATAACATATTGAATATAAAGATAATATCTTACCGATTTGGTAGGTTTCCTGTACTGTAATTTGGTTCTGTTGTTTCTCTGAGGCTGCTGGAACTGCGGTGTCCACGAATAAGTCACAGTCGTTGTTCTTCTCACGAAAACCATGATGTTTGTCTTGAAATCTTACAATTAATTTCTGTGTCCGTATTTCTTTGTAACTTCAGAATATCACAAGTTTTTCCGTACCTTTGTCACTCAAAAGATCTTGAATAATTAAGTAAGAAACATGTAAATAGTTACAAATACATTAGAACTGTTACTCAATATTCCGAATAAAGATGGACATTATCTCATGTAGTGGATCAGTACACATTTAAGACATGTCTCCAATTTTCTGAATAATAGTTCCTTGCGTGCACACGTCTATTTTGTTTATTTCTTGCCAATCATCTGCTTGTTTCTTGCCAATACGCAAACGTCTTTACATCCAATACAAGTGATTGTGTTTGTCATGTCACAAAACAATGTAAGAATACCTACACCATGGAATGTCATTGGAATATATCTGTTTTGCTTGATTATTCATTTGATCGTAGCCTATTGAAAAATATCGATACTTTTAACACAAAGTAGGACTTATCTTTTAAATAACCCGCATTGTAAAGGTCTAATTTTTAAATCTACGGGTTTTTAAATTAGAATGTCCTAATTACAAGTATTATAACTTAAGATTTGTGAAGAGATTTATGTTACAACAAAGACTTCTAATCAATAAAATTGTTCATTTAAATCACATGCTGTTTATCGGAAGGCCGTAACATTATTGTTTAGATTTTTTTATAAATATTCTTGATTTTTTATTGACTACAAAGCTAGACAACACTCACTTTTACTAAAACTACTGTTTAAGAGAAAACTTATTAATTGTTGCACGTTCTATTACCAAAAACCTTTGATAACCTGAACTAAAACTTCATTAATTTTGTAGAATAATAAAATATCATTTTAATGTATAGGAGATAAAATTGAGAATGAAACGGGGAATGTGTCAAAGAGACAACAACCCGACAAAAGAGCAGAAAACAGCCCAAAAGAGAGTTTACCAACTTGTAATCATGCAAAAGCTGCATTGGCAACAAAGACAAATGTAACGTTACGTCCAATTTCATGTTTTAGAAAGTGATAACTGAACTTTTTTTTTTAATCTGAACAGAAACATAGACATACTGCTGATGATATAACAGCCAAGTTGATGATATAAGAATAAATAAGAAGAATTTTCCAATTGGTCATCGTATACACTGTTTTCTATAGACAGATGACTGAAATAAAAACCTAATGGTTTGAGTTGTATGATGTTAGTTGTATTTTTGGTTCACTTAAAAATCTATAAACTCTCTTTTTCTGCTACTTCGTGTTGATGCTATTGACATTTGAAAATTAGAATCATTAGATGCTGCTATTTCATTAATTAGTTTCATATGTCACCGGAAAAATCAATAAAACCATATTAACAGGTAATAGAAATAATATGGCCTGACATAGCTTATCTGTACTTCATACTATATTTGTAACTATATCATATTTGATTGAAAAAGATGACATATGTGTTGAAATAAGGCAAACTTTATTGATCAACACCTTAAGGTTATTATCTACCAAAATCTATACAGGCTTTATATACTGTCTTTCAACCTGACATAATCATTTGCATTTAAATGGTACGGATTTTATCATTTCTATATTTCAAAGTTGTAAAATTTCAATAATATTTATTAGAATTACAAGGTTTTTCTCGTCTTACATTATGAATTAGACATAATATATTCATTTCATCCTGATCATAAAGGATTTAAAGTTCAAAATGTCTGAATAATTACCGTATTTTTGCTTATTTGCAGAGGTACATGTATACCTTATACAAGAAAAGTGATAAACTCTACACTGTACCTATCTAATTGTTCTATGATTAATTATTCATAGGTAGATCCATACCACCCACACTTCTCCATAGCAATAGTGTATTTAACTCAGGCTTTCATTTCCCCCTATCCTGTTTCGTACTCATACATGTAATTTGGTCCCTCCTGATATGATTTTTCTGCTATTTGTTTGACATCATGTTTTATAACCAACCTTTTATCTCCAGTTTATATGAACATATTTAAAAGCAATGCACATTGATTCAACATAAGAATTCTTCTGTATATGTGAAATGTCTCATTTGAGAAAGTTGTATATTACAAATGATCGTTCTAACCTTCTGATGTAACACAACAGCCGCTACATTATCTATCGTTTTGCATCGATCGAAGGTCCATAACGTAAAAAACGTGGAAAACATTTCATGCATTTCGAAGATGTATTAACGGTATAGAATTTGGTAGGACCTCCAAAGTGGGTTGACGACAAAATTTGACTGCAACTTGTGAAAACAAAAACAAAAACTAGACAGGGTCCAAAATAACCCTCATATTACAGGTAAGAGCTATCGCTCATGTTGCTCTACGTATAAAGAGTGTTGCAGCACTTTTATCTTATTAATGCCATTTCCATACGGATGTAAAGATGCGTATTCAAACTTATCACAGTCAACAGAGGGCCCAACTCGGCTAGGCTTTCACGACAGAAAACATCCCTATACCAAAGGCCTTGTCTCCTATGCTGTTATTGATTGATGACCGATTAATGTCCAGCCAATAATATTACATTCATAATAAGACGATGACGTTTTAATGATATAAAGCTGTCTTCTGTAATGAAAGGGGTAAGTAAATATGCTACTTATACTAATACGGAAGCTGTGAAACTGAACAACATTTGTGTACATTTCGACAATAAATACACTCACCGTTAACTTTTCTTGATGATATTTTTGCGTTAAAAATCAAGAATTTTCTTGTTTAACTGCAGTTATTTTACCAAAAGAACTTTCACTAAAAGTAATTGAATATTAACAGCAATGGTTATCTTTTTTCTTGATTTGAATTTTTCAGTTTCACGCGTGCAAATATACTTAAATAATAATAGTAAATGTAACATTGTTCGGTTAAATTTCAGCCACTGCCAATTTTATTTTTATCGAACAAGCGTAAAACGTCTGTGTCCTTGCTGACACATTATAGATATATCTAGAAAAACCTGGATACATATGTGTTCTTACTGACATATTATCTAGTAAAACCTGGAAACATAATATTATGTTGTTTTAGTTTCTTTGGATATTTAACCTTTATTAACTATTAAGACATTTTCTTTTATACTTCTGGGTATACTTTAGGGTAAATACATGGATATTGGTTAACATGGTCCCGAGTAGGTTTATATATTGCTCGAGCTTGTGAGTGCAAGATATATTTTACGAAGTTTAAAATTCACCAATATTCATGCAATAATTCTCTTATTGTAAACAGCAAAGCTTGAACAACTGATTAAACATAGTCTTGTCGCTGATGACGTCACTACTTTGAAGCTTTATTTTGCACCAGTGCACTATGGTATACTAATGCACTCTAACTTTGTTACGTTCTGTATGGGATATGTTGTTGCAATACAATAATATGAGTTGCTGTTATTACAACTATTCTAAAGCGAGAAGAAGCATCAACAAATTTAATAAATACGAACATTTCGTTCGCATAATGTTTAACGAACGGTCACGATTATGCGGGATAAATAATTCTGATCAGTACAGTAACATATAAGAAATATATAATAAATAAGATAATACCTATCTGACAATGGCATGTAATATTTGTGTTGAGGAATGACTGACAAACATGAGAAATGTCAACATATTTATTTTATAAACCTAATCGCGTGTTACACTTTTACCAGTTCACGTTGTATAGAAAGATTGCTGTAACTCTGTCGTTGCTCCGTCAAATATAGCACACTTCGTAATAATAAAGGCAAAAACATAATCAGAATTACATATGTTGTCTTCGGTAAAGGCTGAGTACTTCCAAAAGGAGGAAACCATAATCCTCGTCTCGTGCCGTCTCGTATGTGATGTGACGTCCACGCAACAAGAAATATTAACGAAAGACGTTTCAGAAGGTCGTTGGAGCGCAGGTATGATATTATCCAAATACAGCCAACAGCTACTGGTATAATTGATGAAGCATGGAATATCGGTCTTTTGGAAAGTGACAATGCAGACTGCAAGAAACAAAGATGATAAATTAAAATCACTGCATACATACATGTTGTACAAAAAATTCGGTCTGTAAAAAGGTTACCATCATCTTCAATTACAACATGCATAAGTACCCTTGATTTTGATTGGTTGTTAGCTAGTGTATTTCCAGTTCGTGTATTTTCTTTTATCAATTGAGTTTTGTTCATATTTCACCATCTCTGGGGTATGTATATGGAAGATTATACAATTTATTACCCTCTCTGCCGATGTACAGTTGGAATCAGTTCTATTATAACCTCTCTTCGGAACTACCAGATAATTGAATTAAATTTGATATTCGGTGTACAGGTATAGCATGTATAGGAGGGGCCTTGAGAAGATATTTTACCTTCTCTCGACTGATATCTTTGGCAAATAACCTCCTGCAGTAATAATGATATGTTAATAATATGATATAAGGAATTCGTTTTTCATGAAAATACTCTTTATACGTGCTTATGTTTTTTTTTCATGAAGCCATCAAGTATTTTCAAGTTTACTATTATCATTTGTTAACCATTTTCGTCTTTTATTTCTACATATAACTTTGTTTTGTTCTTAGCATTCTTAGCCGAGATAACAATGTACAAAAATTAATTTCTATTATGTTACATATTAGGCGGTAAAAATAGAAATTTGAAACACGTGTTTTTGTAGTCATCAATGGAACAGCAGTACAATATTTGTGGTATTATGTTATCATAATAGTTACTTTTCTTATTTACAGTTTTTGGGGTATCATTTCAACTTTAAATTTCGTACATGTATCATGTGTATTTTTCAAAGTAATGTACATCATCACGGTAATCAGTACACTGGTAATTGCTTTGGACATTTAATTTATGAGCAAATTTTGCGTGTTTGCAGAACAAAAAAATGTGTTCTTGAGGTCTGTAATATCAAGTTTTTTTCTTTTCGTAAATGTATGCGTTTGTTAGAGAAATATAATGCTTTAAAGAGGGAGTTAAAGTTATGGCCTGCAACCGTGCCAAGGTTCATTTGGCAAATAGTTCAAAACCCTAATCATTTAAACCATGAAGTCACTGCACTGATATTTTCATATGGTCTCATTTCATGCATACGGCAAAAACTTTATTAAATGATATACTGTTATTATCTTATTATGCCCCAAAAGGGAAAAATAAATTTTTAGAATGCTTGTGGCTCTATCAGTTTACAATGTATGCATATGTCCAATGTGCCTACGATAGTAAGTTGGTTAACATATTGGAATGGATTGATTTTAAATATACAGAGGATTCAAACGAAATTTTACATTACAAAGTTATACCTTTAATTTAATAGATCTTGCAGCAATAAAATGGTCTACATCGATCACCATCGCTAACATCATACATCCGGAACATTCGATCAGGTCCTTTCCGCAATCCGATAAATCTACTATAATCGCCCAAGTGAAATATCCGACAAATCCATGTGTTAAGTTATCCAGTAAAGCTTTAGAAAGTTCGTTACTCAATCCAAATATTGAAAATCCAAATGTTCCAATATAATTATCACCAAACAAACATGCAGCAAATAAGATGAGCTCAAAACAAACGCATCGCATAATTGCTAGTATGAAAGTCATTTCTGTAATTTAGGTGATTGATATGTGAAATGAATATGAAGAAAAAAACATATATCATTCGAAATTAAGAAGTTACAATATACCATCACATGTTTTGTAAAGATACAAACTTCCAATTGGTATGTCATGCATGTTACAAATATTTTTTTGTTTACAACGGATGTCTTCCGACATATTATAACTTCATTTGTAAACTCGGTCTCGGATTTATTCCGGGTTGCAATTATTTAAAAAAAAAAAGCCGGTAATAATGATTAGCATTAAAAAAGATGTTAAATCTGGGACTAATAGATGTATTAGTCTCAGGTTTAATATATTTATATATTTGAATCCTTAAACAAATTCAAATTCTTTGTTATACCAGGGCACTTTTGGGCATGACAAAATTTGACACGTTCATTCACTCTTTGATACAACCAGTCCGCTAACTCTGAATTTTGTAATAATATTAATAATACATTCTTTATTTTCAGAAGGTTACACAGTTAACAAAACAATTAATCCGCCCGTGGCCTTTAACATCTACATAAAAGCTAACGCAAGTTCTAAAAGACAATAATTATACATAAACACAAGAATAATCGATAAGCAAAAAATAATACACTCTGTCTCATACAAGAAAACGCATAGTACAAGTAGAAAATTGCAAATACCAATGACTCAAAAATCACTATGTTATAGTAAAAGCATAACATAAGATGACTTCCAAAAGTTCTCTTCCTACATTTTAAAAATATAAGCTTGACAATGTGTTTTAAAAATATTCAAGGCAGGGAGTCAGTCTGCAACAAGATTCAGAATAAGTTCTTTTACCATAATAAGTTCCATATCGTCGAACAAATATATTATTATTGGAAGATGATCTTAATACGTAAAGTTATTAACACTTGATCAAAGTTCTGATAAATATCCAGGTGCTAGATTATTCATATGATTATATGCCATCACTGCCCTTAAGTATTTAATTCTAATACTATTATAAATACTAAGCCATCCTATAGCTGTTTTAACATAGCAAATAAAGAAAAAAAATATCAAAACTCGCTTTCAAATGATTCATTCTGCCAGCTTTTGTAACTTGTATAATTTGTCTATATTAGTTAATTTAGATTTGTTACTAAGTTAGGTACACGTTCTTACAGTACACCACAGTAGAATATGCGTAATAGTCAAAATGTCTTTGAGATATCTGGTAGAGCTTAATGAATAAAGAGAGATAACTTTGACATTTTTATAAAGAGTATAAGTTCTATAGTAAATTTTCTGTTTATTTTTCTTTCAGTAAAATTTTGAAAGTGAGAATTTGAATTTGAACTTGAATTGTATGGTTTTACAGTTGACAGGCCCTCGGGGTATATAATTTAATTTCTTCTTTTAGATATTTAGATTTATGGTCCATATTTCATCTTAGTTTAATGTTTCAATTCTGTTATTCCTAGTTTATAATGCGTTACTGACTTAACAAAAAACTACAAATCTTAACGTTTTCCATTGTGTTGTAATCAAGTTACATTAAATGTTTTAACAGATGCATATAAGTGTAAGATAAAGTGTAGAGCAGTAACAGAAAGGCAAATAAGAATGCAAATGATTAAGAGATGAACTTCACATAAAAAAGGTGGCATGCAATAATTCATCATTAAATTCGTGTAAGGCAATCAGTCAGTTATTCCATAATTTTATCCTGTAGATGACATTTTCATTTCCAATCAGATATCTCAAAATGTTCACGTGTGATATCAATAGTTTATTCATCATTTATAGTTTTTTGCAAGGTGATCAGAAGCTCTTTTTGTACAGTTTAGCTTTTCATAGTTTTTATAGTTGTTGCCGAACCTAAATACTAGTAACACTGTACTGTTTTAATTTCTCAGTCTGATTTCCTTCACATTTACACCGGTTATACTCCGGGGTTGATTTTGTCGATTCTAGGGGAAAAGGGGATAGGGGCAATCGGAATTCTTCCATCGATAGCTCACCCCAGAATGGAAACTATGGGTAATTCTCTTAAATGAATAATACCGGTAATTTGATTAATAACTGGAAACATTTGTAATGCACTACCCCCTTTTTAAAAAGATTCATTAAGCCTATAAAATTGAAGAGTTTTAAAGGTATGGTGTCATAGACAGAAACACACACATACATCAATGTTCGCCTAAAAATAGCACCGCATAACATACTATATAAAAAACATGGAGATGTGATATGATTGTTAATGCGCCAACTATCCACCAGGAGGGGTCCTGATCCCGAAATCCCGGGCTTAAAAACATGGAATCCCGAGGTCCCGAATTTAAAAAAATTTAAATCCCGACATCCCAATATTGGAAAAAAGAATTCCCGGATCCCGAAAGGATCAATCCCGTAATCCCGAGCTTAAAAACACCCGATCCCGGAGTCCCGATAAAGGTCCTACCCCCCTCATAGTTAGGATTTAACCTTTAATAAATATGTATGATGTTATATATAGATAAAACAATTTCTAAATATAAAATAAACGTGGATGTGTATATATAAATCCCCCCCAAAAAAAAACATTCGAAAAGAATACAAATTTAGTTATGTTTTAATTTGTTGATGAAAAAATCGATGTTAGTACCAATGAAAACGATATTCAAAGATCTTATTACAACATTAATAAGATGACCTTTACTAATAAGTTTATTTAGAGGTTCGAGAAGTTTACACGGATCACATTGATTTCCGCGCTTTTAGTACAATATTACCGTAAAATTTAGGATGTGAAATACCGTTTTTATAAGTTTTCTACAGGTACAGCCAAATTTACTAATCAAATCTTTGTATCTATGAAAGAATTTAGTAAATGTTTTAAGTAATTTAAGGTAACGAAATCCCTGAATTAATAATTTACCAGTGATACATTGATTACGTTCGTCAAAATCTATGACATTTCTACACACACGGGCATAACGAACGAGTTGGGATATATAAACACCGTATTTGGAGCCAAAGGAACATCGCCGTCAAAGTACGAACTCAGAGAGAAAAAAAAAACATACCGTATAGTGAGCTATACACGTTCCCGGTGGGATTAAATGTAATAAATCAATTAAAACGAGAAAACAAATAACACAACCAACAAAGAACGACAACCATGCACTGAATTGCAGGCGCACACAGCATGTGGTGGGGTTAAACATGTTTGCGTGCGCTCAACATGGGACAGTAGAATAGCACAGCATAAGAAAAAACTAATGAAAATCAGTTAGACATGACTTGACTCATCACATCAGCATGGAACACAAAAAAGTAATAAACAAAAAGACAAAAGACACAAAATACCAATCTATTTTTAGTGTGGATTCAGGCGCGGATCCAGCCATTTTTGAAAAGGGAGTTCCAACCCCCGGAATACTATGAAACGTTCACATAATTAAAAAAAAAAATAATAATTAAAAAAAAATCGAGGAAAAAAAGGGGGGTTCCAAGCAATAAAACCCAGTATGATTGTTACACACTTTTTGGTACGCAAACTATATAAAATCGTTACAATGTGATAAAGCAATAAACGTTATATTTCGATTGACAAGACAATCTAGCTTCGTTAGGCGTGCAACTATCTCCATTTGGTAATTGGATGCTGATATAATTCGTTTAAAGCTTATCCTATAGTTTTAACGCAAAACAGAACTAATTATGCTGCTTCAAATTATATGACTTTTTATGATTATTCCTTTGATTTATGATACATAAATAGGTTAGTTTTGCAACGTTCAGTGACCAATATTACGATGATGTTAATGACGATGCTATACTATGAACATCCCTCACAAAATATTATCACGCTCTATAACGATATCAATTTGTAGTGCCGATATATTTGTCAATAAGATATTATTTGATCTGATTCGTATATTATTCTCTTTATCAGTATCGTTGCACATCAAATGTTTAGATTAATATAATTATATCTATTTTTTAAAATTTATTTTACTGAATGTTCTGTTTTTATTGTCTCGCCTGCGACGAAAGTCGCAGATTGCGAGACGTAGGAGTTACAATCCGACGGCGGCGCTGGCAACAGCGGCGGCGTAATCTGTTTGTATACATGTCAACTATATATTTCATGGGAGAGAAGAACTGATTGCTTCATAACTTGTATATCAGGTGCGTTATGTTACAAATTTGCCGTCTTTCATATGTCCATTGTCCTTGATCTCATTTCCTTTATAGTTTGTTTTTGTCATGTGAATATATCACTTATTATGAGTATTAGGATAATTATATTTGATATGTTGTATCCTTGGAAGGTTAACGTGACCGTCAAGCAGGGACCTCATTTTATGGATCACTGGTCAAGGTTAAGCTTTCGTAGCTTAGTTCGTATCTCAGACACTATAAGCAGTAGGTCAACTATATTTTGTGTATGGAGTGATTGTAAAGTGCACATTTCTGTTAAGCGAGGTTAATATTACCTCATTTGCATGATTCATTGGTCAATGTTAAGTGTTTGTGTTTAAGTCTGTTTCTCAGATACTATAAGCAGTATATCAACTATATTTGGTGTATGGAAGGATTGTTAGGTATACATATCTGTCTGGCAGGTCTATCTGCCCTTGGTCCCATTTTCATGGTTAACTAGTCAATCTTAAGCTTTTGTATTCTAGTCTATTTCTCAGATACTATAAGAAATTATCATATGTTTTGGTGGACTATATTTGGTGTATGAAACAATTGTAAAGTGTACAAGTCTGCCAGGGTCGTCTGACTTTGTTCTAATTTTCATGATTCATTGGTCAATATCAGGTTTTCGTGGTAAGGTCTCTCATGTTTCTCATGTACTATAAGCATTGGGTCAACTATATTTGGTGTATGACATGATTGTATTGTGTACATGTCTGTCTGACAGTCTGACTTTTACCTCATTTCGATGGTTCAATAGTCAGCGTTATGACTTCACAGTTTAGGTAGATGGGGTGTCTAAATTATAATCCATAGAATTTTTTAATAATTTGCCAAAATGTAGTTTATATCATGCTTTTTTAAAAAAATTAATAAAAATTATGGGTCACGGGTATTTTCACGCTACAGGTTGTGCAAAATTGACAGATTTTGTATAGATTATGCATGGAAAACGCAATTTTCTGCCATAAAACGAAAACTACACCATAGAATTTTGAGATAAAATATGAGAAGATAGCTCTAATATTATACTTTCAGATAAGAAAAAGAAAAAATGGGGTCACCGGGCCCGTTTCCTTGCTACATAATAAAATAGATAAATTCCTGACACATTCTATTGTAAAAGTAACTTTATCTGAATTATCTGCCCTTACATTTGAGTTTCCTCCCCTTATGTGGCAAAGTTGGAAAAAATTGAATCAAACAAAAGTATTCTGTTTTTTGTAAAATACAACCATAAATATAATAAAACATGTCATTTTCTATATTAAAATGAAAATTCTTACACATGAATTACCAACTACTCTCAAAATTTGCACATTTTATTAAAGGTCTAGACCGATTATTTTCTGGTATTTCAAAATCCAAGATGGAGGAAGACACCCTATCTACCTTAAGTTTGTTTTTCTCAGATACTATGAGCGAAAGGTTTACTATATGTGATGTATGTAATAATTGCAAAGTATCCATGTCTCTCTAGCAGAGTTCATTTGACCTTGACTTCATTTTCATGATTCATTGTTCAAAGTTTACTTTTCTTGTGTGGGTCTGTTTCTCAGATACTATAAGCAAAATGTTAACTATTTTTGGTGTATGGAATTATAGTTAGACGTACATGTTTATCTGACAGGGTTTACCTGACCTTGACCTTATTTACTTGGAACATTGATAATGTTAATTTTATATAATACTTTCTGTGTCACCTTTTTCCCCTAAGAATTTCAACATAGAAATCAATCATTATCAGTAATACAGGCGAGACATTTCAGAGTGTCCACCCTTGTTGTGTTTTCAATTATTAACCTTGTTTTCCAGTTTTATTGCTTAATCCCGAACTTTTTGGCCAATTCAATGTCACTTACGACATGTTTTCGCGGTCTTAGATCTTAAGATACTAGAAAAGTCGTCTGATCTTCCGATTTTCCGATTATGTCTTATTCCGAATAGTGACTGAGTGTTGTTTTGCGTGGCGGGTGATGTATAATACTATATTTAGTATTTAGACGGATACCCTGTCGACGCACCCGGTCTCGCTCCGTATAGATTTCATGCCATTCATTCAAATTTGTCTTTTACCTTGATTTGTATCTTCTTAATGGATTTTTGAAATTTGTACATCCGTAAACTACTGTTGCCTCTACTGTATTACGAGAGGGTATCATTGGAAAATTACTACGCACTGCGCTATATCTTTGTGGAGAATGTTATCTTGCATTTACCAATAAAATCCTGACCTTTGTTAATATGAAGTATAATGATACAAAGTATTTTAATGCATGAATCTATTATCGTGTGTCACCACAGTGTTAGACCAACTATTGTTGATACTTACATTCTGTTTTCAATTAACTAATATTTCCATGATTAACCACAGTCTCTGGACGAAGAACAATGAAACAGACAACAAATATTAGATTTTTGTTGAAATTTTGTACTTTCGATGTTTTATTGTTGCTTCAAATTCTTGTTTTCTCTCTCCAGAAAATTATCTAAATTTTGTGTGTTTGTGTTGTTAATTGAATAAGGCAGTATAGTTATAAATATCATCGTAAGATAAATTAACAAAGGACTAATAGTAGTTACTGACATGCCAGTTCCAGACATGCCAGTTCCAGACCTCAATTTAGCTGATTGAAAGATTATGTCTTCATCATATGAAAATCAAGCACAATCCCTCCCGTAATGGGTTTAGTATCATACCATCATAAAATATACGAGAAGATCATAACGCGTATCATGCCAACAACTGGTTTTAGAATAAATGTGTTTATTTCCAATGCAAAGACCATATGAGTGAATCAATGTTAATTCCAAAAATGTCATCTTTAATGACCTGACAACAGTATCGTAACGATATCCCTTCCGAATAAGTCTGTTTAAAGATTTGGTTAGCTTTTGAGGTGAATGACGACATTTTTGTGCTTTGTATAGAATATTACCATAAAAGATTGGATGTGTAATACCTGAACGTATAAGATGTCTGCACGTTGATTTATATTTACGAATGATGTCCTTGTACCGATGATAAAATCTAATAAATGTTTTGACAAGTTTGTGGTATCGAAAACCCTGGTGTAATAATTTTTCAGTATTACAGAGATTTCTTTCGTTAAAATCAAATACGTTGTTACATACACGGGCAAATCGAACAAATTGAGGTATATAAACACCATAAGATGGTGACAAGGGAACGTCTACATCTACATATTCACCATCACTGAATATTCGTGATTTGACATTTTTATACATATTAAATATAGTATTATACATCTTCCCATTCACTGTATGTAAAATGAGTTTTGACCAAAGAGCAGATCTCCAAACTGTATCGAATGTTTAACAAAATCAATAAAAGCACAAAAAAAGTTTTTTCTTTTTTTGTCTCAGTAGTTCGTATAAAATATGCAGAGTAAATATGCTGTCTATAGTGGAATAGCCCTTTCTGAAACAAAACTGGTTTTCATTTAACAACAAATATTCTTCTAAAAAAGTGATAAGTCTTAAATTCAAAATTGACGTGAAAAGTTTACCCACTAGTGGTAGGTCAATGATATTTGGTATTCATGCAGTTGTATTAGTATTGGCATATCTCACTTCCATGTTGACTTTGAAAAGTTTGCTTATTTTTCATGTATTAGTTTGTGATTAGGTCAGTTTAAGGGGAATCGTTAGTGGTAGGTCAAGGATAATTGGTATGCAGTTGTATAAACATTAGCACATCTCATTTTCATGGAGAATATTTGGTCCTTACCCTTCAGTCCTGGTCTATTGACTTTGAAACTTTTTCTTAGTTTACAAGTATTAGTTTGTGATTAGGTCAGTTTAAGATGAACCACTAATGTCAATTTAACCATTAAGTCAATGATATTTGGTATGCAAATGTATTTGCATTTGCAAGTTTCATTTCCATGGAGATTATATAACCCCACCCCCTCATTATGGTTCATTGACTTTGAAACTTTTACATAGTTTACAAGTTAATGTTTGTGTTTAGGTTTGTTTAAAAGGAACGACTAATGAAAAGTCAATGGTATTTGGTATGCAGTTGTATTAGCATTGGCACATCTCATTTCTATGGAGATTGTTTAGCCTTGTACCTTCAGTCATGGTTCATTGACTTTGAATATTGGATAACTTACATGTTAGTATTGCTATTCTAATTTCAACATTTGCATTAGCAAAATAACAAATAGGCGAGACATATCTCTGTGTTAACAGTTTATTAAAAATACCGGCAATATTTACAAAATCAAAATCTTTATTGACATATTTGATTTTAATGAAATGTTTTTTATGATCTTCAGGGCGATCAATTTTCTGAAACAGTTTATTGCGTTTCTTTATAAACACAGCATACACTACTATTTTTTATCGTGTACAAGTGGTAAATGTATATGAAGAAATGTCGCAAGATAGAGAAACAAACTTCCACATTTTCCCGTAAGCTCTCAAATTCTTCTTCGAACAGAACAGTGAAAACAAAACGCTTTGCATTCTATAAAATAATTAATAAAGTTTCAATTGACACATTTGTTAACGAAAATGCAATAATACACAATTCAAAATAAACAATTTTTTTTCGCTTTTTAAGCTTTATATACGTACCCGGCTTAATATGATATATGATTTATGGCAATAACATAAAAAATACAAGAGATTACAGAAATCAGCCAAAATCCAATATAGAACAAAAAAACCTATCAATAACCAATAAAAGACTTCTTCAAAAAATGACCTATGAACAAGACAATCAATAATGTATCACAATGCTATTTTGAGAAGTAAATAACATTTATACTTTAAACAATAAATGATTTTAATTTGGAATGTAGTAGAGGTGAATATAGACATCGATCCAGTGGGAGTAAAAATTTCCCCACTGCATATGCGAATTTTGACAATCAAAGTCTCTTAAGTGATGCCCGATTACACAATATTTGAAAATCCAAAACCTTATACAAACATTGAACAACTGGTTAAACAATCTAAATCAAGGCAACAGTATTTTACCGATGTTCCAATATTATGAATCGATTAAGAAGACATATCAAGGTAACAAACAAAAACCGAACATCGGTAAACTACTGATGCCCAAAATTTGTTAGCTTGAAATAAAACATTTCTCTTGGAAAAATGTAATGGCCCTGATTGGGCAGTATTGTCATCTTCATGAGTACCGATATTGTTTATCAAGAGGATTATCTCAAAAATATAAATACTTACTGCTCTTCGAAACTGCTCTTTTTATACCTATAAATTAGGGCAAACAAATATACAACCAAAGCAACACTTATCATTCTTGCATACAAAAAAACCCCAAATGAATGGTAGATACTAATAATGTTGACTAATCAGTGTTTTTCCCTGCGGTAGCTTGAATCGGAATGGATCATCTTTGTTGTATATTAAGTTAACTAATAATTCTTAATGAAAATTTGGTCTTTCCTAAAACGTTTATGATATCTCTTATGCATTTCCTACTGAATATAATACTGCTTCAGTTTATAGTGTTGTATATATATATGGCTACAATGGCCTGTTTTCATATCGTTTAATTTTGGCATATTGATTTACTTAACAACTGCTAAGATATGATACAAATTGTTGAAATTCTTGTTTATAAAGAAGAATCTAATCATTACTAATGATTATAAAATGACAATATTTGAAATTTTATTAACACATGTATCTGTTGTCTGGTTTCTTGGTTACATAGAAACGTAGAACTTAAACCAAAATGGGACACACACAAAATATGAAGAATAAACATGTATAATTGAAATAGAAAAATTCTATTTCAGCGTATATAAAATATAAATCAAAACAGTTATTAACGACCCTCTCCCCCTTCTATTAGCATCATCTGTAAACAAAAAAAGGTTTGAAATTTAAATGCATCTAAGTGATTTTGTTGTTAATGTTTTGCGTAACGCGGATGCACTAAAACAATGTGGGGTTGAGTTGGAGGAGAAAATGTTTGAATAAATAGCTATAGTACATCGTTTGCTTATCTGCAGATGAGGTAGGTTAGCTTGAATGCAGAATGCTTTAATAAATAAACATGTACAGTTCAAATATATATAGGAGTCCCAATGCCATTACTTTTGCATATTTATAAATAGTTCCCATTTTTTTAAAGAAAAAAAAAATGACATATAACCTTCCAAAAACATAAGTTCACGTAAGAAATTATGAATTTGTTGAAATTAAAGGCAAAATACAATCAAAACATTTCAACATGTCGTTGAGTGTACTTTTGTTAGTGTTTTAGTTTTGAGACAAATACCAAACGCGTGATTATGATCAAAAGTGAAGATTTATGTGATGCTTCGCTACTAAATGGTAGCAAATCAGTGAATGATGTGTGTAAGAAGAATGCTGAGTATTCATACATTTCATACTTACGAGTCTCTGAATGGTGCACTGAAAGAATGATTATGTTGTTATCAAAATGAATATCAGGTTGGAAATACACGTATGTGTATATCTACCTTTGTTCGATAAAAAGTCAGTGACAAAAATGTAGTAATACAATTTTATTACTTCACGACCTAAAATATGCATATGTCTTTTTATGTTGTAATGTTACACTACTGTTTCAGGTTAGGATGAAGGTTGGCGCCTGTTAAAACTTTTATACCCGCTGGTTGTCGTTTGTTGGTGTGGTTCATAAGTGTTTCTCGTTTCTCGTTTATTATATAGATTAGACCGTTGGTTTTCCTGTTTTAATTGTTTTACACTAGTCATTTTGGTGCCCTTTATAGCTTGCTTCTCGGTGTGAGCCAAGGCTCCGTGTTGAAGGCCATACTTTGACTTATAATTTGTTAACTTTTTATACATTGTGACTTGGATGGAGAGTTGTCTCATTGGCACTCATACCACATCTTCTTATTTATATATCCCTTGGGAAAAACCCGACCTAAAATACCTTTTTGTCAACAACATAGTTCTAGGACTGCATTTTCGCTCCTTCAGTTATTAGATTATAAATAAATAACATTTAGATTTGTTGAAGAAGATGTTTTCTGTTAAAAGATTATTGTAACCATCTTTGAAACCAAAAACCGAAAATGGCAGCCAACACGTCAAATGACTGGACCATATGGCAAGGGTTAATGACGTTTCTCACTTAAAGTAAAGGAATTATTCTTTGTCTACACAGATATTGATATGCTCAGGAATTTGTATCAATATTTTTGAAAATAAAAGTTCATAAAATTTAGTTTAATTGGCCTCTAATTTTGAAAAAAAAGACGCCAGAAAGATTATCATTGAATGGTTCACTTTATTGTTATTCAAGCTATTATAACAATTTCTGTTTTTAACAAATTTTTTTTGTAATTATTGGAATATAAATAATTATTAAGAAGTTTTTATTTTGCTCTGAATAGAGTATGAACATTCGAAGATTGAGATTACAATAAATACTTATTTCAGGAACCTCGTCAGTGGCTGTCTAATGTCATTTATTGTTTGGATATCAGGTGAATGTGGTATTAACGACATATATATGAGTTATTTTTTTTCTGTTCAATCGATTCATACTAACTTCGAGACGTTTTTTTATATATATATATGTCGTTATGTAGCTGTATCAATTACGTGTACATCAATTCACTCTGCCCTCGTCTCAAGTTGTATATCATGGATTTGTGACGTCAAAAAAGTTGTCCCGGACCTAATACCGTCGTCATAATGTTTGAACAGATATTGATAACTTGGGACCGATCTTATCAATTCATCTTCCTGTTTGCTGGCCAAACAAAGAAACAGCTATTTTATGTATCGAGAAAAACACAAAAATACAATCAATAACAGTGATATTGCTCGACACAATACATGAATGGGATCTTTTTAAATTCTTTTACTGTGCTCTCCACCAACAAAATTTCATATTGTTACTCGGAGCTCTTATTTTACAGTTTAAATATGGTATTTATAACTCTACAACATACCATTCTGCTGAACAATATTTCCAAAAAACAGTTTGTAACCGCTACAAAAATCTGCTATATATTCTCCACCTTCTTGTAACATTTCCTGTTCCGTAATTGGAACTATTTTCCACCAACTTCACCTCATCAATTGCATGCGTGAGTTTCAATCTACAATATTTATACTAACTATTGGCAATAGACGAATTTCTTAATACATGCAAAAAATGAAAACAACACGTTATAAATTTAATGCGTCCGAAGCACTTTTCTGGATTTACCTTCATCAGGAACGCTCAAAGCCGAATATTTGAAAGCCAAGGATGTATAAATCCAAAACAGTTGAAGAGCTATATAATAAAAAATGACCTAAAATAATAGCCAAATCCTTGTAAGGCCAACTTTGCCTGAGGGAGTTGAAACCTTAGTTTCTTTGTAATTTCAAAATTTATAAACGGGCAAATTTAGAAAGGTTTATTAATAATCATGTCAATACCGAAGTACTGACTACTGATCTGATGATACCCTCGGGGACTGATAGTCCACCAGCAGAGGTATCGACCCAGTGCTGTAAAAAATGAACGAAAACAACACGTTATAAATTTAATGCGTCCGAAGCGCTTTTCTGGATTTACCTTCATCAGGAAATGATATATTGTAAATAATGTATTTTAATTATTGTATAAAAATGTCATATATATTGGTTACACTTAATGTTATGTTGATTGTTTCATAAGACAACTGTAAAGAGCATTATAATTAAAATGTACTGCTATACAGATCTGAATTCTTATGGCTCAGTATCCTGTCGATACTTATATTTTGGCATTGCACAAGTTCATGTTTTTTCTGTTTATGACGTCTTTACACTTAATCCGTTGAATGTGTACTGATTGACATCTGAGACTGCGAAAACATGATTTATTTATTAGTTGTTATTGGCTTTGAACCAGCAATACCTAGAATTAGATCGGTATTTTGTTTCTTTTACTTCATATCCTTTTGGCATATTTATACATCCTATCATTGTGTTACAGTGCTTATGTGCTTTGTCTATAGATTGCCTATATGCCATTTTGTTTTTCATTGTCTAAATAGTTATTTGTTTTTATAGTGATTAAGATTATAACACAATGTTGACTGCTGTACCCCATTTTTTTACATTTATACCTATTCTGTCTATTTGTTTTGCTCATATGTTGTTGTCAATATAATGGAATTCTATGCGACTGTCATACAATTTAGAGGTTTAACTAGCTATAAAACCAGGTTTAATCCACCATTTTTTACATAAGCAAATGCCTGTACCAAGTCAGGAATATGACAGTTTTTCATTCGTATGATGTGTTTGAGCTTTTGATTGTGCCATTTGATAAAAGACTTTCCGTTTTGAATTGTCCTTGGAGTTCGGTATTTTTGTTAATTTCCTTTTTACTTTTAGGGCCATTTGAAGGACCAATATAAGTTTTACTCCTACGCCTAATTTATATTTATCCAACAATATTTTAAAAGAGATGTAATCTCATTAAAATGACCTACGATCCAGTATGTTGGTGTTGATAATAACTATTTGAATAAATGTTGCATATTGTAGAACTTTTTCGCTTCGAGTGTCACTGATGAGTTTTTATTAGACGAAACACGCCTCTGTCGTACATAATTATAAGCCTGGTATCTTTGAGCAATGTTTTTCAAAAATCGAATGTGTCCGCCTCTACTGCGACACTCCCGGAAAGCACTGAATAGTGTTTACTTTGATTCCTGAGATAATCAACAGTAAGTCGTATATGTCATAAATGTTTAACAATAAAACAAACAAATAAAACCCAATATTGAAACATAAAATGTTTGATTCCTTCACATCTATGTAAGAAAAAGAGAGTTTACACTGGTAAATAATCTAGTCGTTCTGATTACTGAAAATGATACTTCAATATTTATTTTATCCTCATAAAATGCTGTCATATTTATGATGTAAGAATTGTTAGACAAAACTCAATCAAATTATACTGTGAAAAAAACATTTCTTTAATATTTTGTTTAAAATAGATTTAAGTGATGCAGTAATAGTACCTTTAATTTTGTGAAGCAATTCCAGCGTGTCATTGATAGATTCTCTTGTGTCTATCATAAGACATTCTTCAGTATCGATGTTCTTTATGGCGAGCTTTCTCTGTAAATAAAATTTATACATTTATGTATTATGAACTCATGACGGAGGCATATGTTATACCTTTAATTTCCATGCGTTTATCATGATAAGCAACTTAAAAAAATGTACGAGTTTACCAAATTAGAAGAATTTTTTTTAAAATATCAGTCGAAGACAAACAGACTATATCATCGTCAGAACGACGAATGACAAACAACAGCCATTTTGATCATGTCAATTCCACTATTGCTCTTGATATCAAGAATCTCATGGAAAACACCAATATTTGGATTTTGGACCTATCCATATCCATTATCGAACATCAGAAGGCAGACCCTATTAAACACATTTCGATTCAATTTCAAATAATTTGAATGGTCGAAATGTTGTATAGCTTCAATTGAATTGAATTTTTTTTTAAAGAATATACCATAGGAACCTAAGATAAACCTTAAGTACATACACTCTTTCTACATGATCAAAATTTTCGAAAAAAAAGCGGTAAAATATATTTAAACTCCTTTCTAAATAATGTCGGGAAATAAAGCCTGCCTCCTGGTTACGCCGGTTCTCCAAAATGAAAACCTCCTTGAATATCTTCCGGTCAAGTGACTTGTAGTAACGCATGTGCTGTCCATCTTTTGATGATGTGATTTATTTTGCAGAATATATAATGACTATTTCCTTGCTGAAGCGTCATACATGATTTCAAATGAAATGACATTACGCTTTTCCCACCTGCTCCCAAACCAAAATTCAACCCGACAACCGTCTCTCATCTCTATACTTCTTGCCTTCGTTGCAATTAATATAGTCACTACGGACACGGGAAATTCGAATGAGTTGTGAAATATACTCGTAAAGGATCATCACTGACCAAGATGAAATAAACAATAGGATAAAATTCTGCAGTAAAATAAAATAGAATCTTTACTTGTTGATACAAAAATGTCATCAAGGTAAATTTCGCTATTAAATTTTCCAATTAAATGGAATCTGAACTGTCATATTCCTGACTTGGCACAGGTACTTCCTTCGAAAATGTAGAAAATGGTGGATTAAACCTGGTTTTATAGCTAGCTTAACCTTTCACTTGTATGACAGTCGCATTGTACATTTAAGGTTAAATAGACGTTTTTTTCTTATTATAGTGTTTAAAGGAATTTGTGTAGTATAAACAAAACATGCAAAATGAAAAACAAATAAAGTTCGGCAAATTACCATGTATGATGCATGAAAGGTTAAACATCAATCTTATGTAGGTAATACAAAACCTTTTTAAAGTTATGAAGATTAATAATAGAAGGGCAATCAGACTCAAGGTGAGCCACGCTTCCAACATTTACAGTCAACAAATTCTTTTTCAAGTCTACAACGATATCCTTTTTGATGTTTCCTCCGTGTACATCAGCCTTTATCTTAAACGTCTAGAATTTATAAAACAAATAAAATTCGTTATTTCTATTTCATCATCCAGATTTGAGTTGACATTAAAAGTGATTATGGTAAATGAAGTAATTTATCAAGGCAATAAACGACATTGTCGCATATGATCACTTTTGGACTTCTTCTGGCTCAAAGTGGGACGTCTGTTTTGTTGTGCCGCAGATATTAAATTACAATTACGTACGGTCAGAATGGAACGTTTAATACGATGTCTTGCTCTCTGCACCTTACGAACCATCGCAACAACACTTTTAGGGGTCAGTAAGTGGCCTGTTGCAAGGATAAATTTCTGTCCCTAACCAATGTTTCCTCATTTGCAGTGGCATTCTTAATTTTCCACCCTTCAACCTGGTTAACCCAGGAAGGAAGGAATATATTCGTTTCATTTCATAGTTTGACTTTGAAAAGACATTTTTGTTGAGAAAGTGGTAGATAAAACCAGATCATAGATAAGATATCGCGACAATTGACAATCGTTAAAAATGTTTTGTAATCTTTTTACAACCCATCAGTAGAACGTTTAACATTTTTATGATATATGAATCTTTTTTTTTAAAAATTATTCAGATTTTCACAAGTCAAAACAAATGAATGTGATAATACAATTCAGTTATTCAAATTTTACTTTTTTCCATGCAAATGTATATAATGAGCAGCTGATACCTTCGGCGACTAAAAGTCTACCAGTAGAGATAGGAATACATATTTATTTTGTCTTACATAATTAACTACCCATGTCTTGCTTTCAAATAAAAACGTTAAAACTTTAATCATATTGAGCTCTTTCTGTCCTCTACATATAAACAACATTCAACCACAAAAAAAATATATATTGTTGCATTACTTGTCTTAATTTTGGGTCAAATAGGGTTAATGCTCATATATAATTTCTCCATTAACCTCAATATTGAATATCCTGCAATATAATATTGACGATATGTTGTGGGACTCTGACGATATGTCGTGGGACTCTAATTAGAATGAGAATTATATTTCTGTTCTTATTTTGCCAAATAAAACATAACCTTTAACAGTTATCGATAGAATATCAATATTTTAACAGGATTATTTAGAGGATGCACGCTTATCGTCATCCAAACTGCTGCTTTATATTATGTTTAATGTTTGATGTGGGTTACATATAATGTTAAAAGTCGTTCCTTTCTGTCTTTCCATGTCCCCTTAAGCGAAGAAGGATGTGTACAATGATCCTGTGCCCATATGTCGTGGGACTCTAATTAGAATGAGAATTATATTTCTGCTCTTATTTTGCCAAATAAAACATAACCTTTAACATTTATCGATAGAATATCAATATTTCAATATGATTATTTATAGGATGCATGCTGATCGTTATCCTAACTGCTGCTTTATATTATGTTTAATGTTTGATGTGGGTTACATATAATGTTAAAAGTCATTCTTTTCTGTCTTTCCATGTCCCCTTAAGCGAAGAAGGATGTGTACAATGATCCTATGCCCATTTGTTTCCTTGTTATATTTGTTTATTCTTCATTCTGTTCATTCATTCGTCTGTGCGTTACTCTCACAGTTAATGTAAAGTAGTGA